CAATGTCTTATCTAATACGCCACTTTAATGTTTTAGCATATTTAAAATATTTTGCAACCTAAGTTTCATCATCCTGACATCATTCGGGTGGCAATAACTTTTTGAGAAAAATCTTCTATACTAGTATGCCGAACTTCACAAATAAACCAGTATTGATTGTCTATCACCAGGTTGATAGGAAGCATTTATAATGTTTAAAATATTATTGTATCTTTGGTTTCTATGCGAACTACAATTTTGGAATGCATTTTTCTATGACCATTTTCATGCATCACGCGGTAGTATCTCTTCGGGACGTATCGAAACCACTCCGTCCCGAAAAACCGTTAATTTGAATTTAAAACCTACCCCAGTGTTTGAAAATCAAGGATTGTGAGTCTCACACTTCACCGTTTTTCTTCAAACTTGTTCCGTACAAAGCTTCACAGAAATACCTTTCAGTCGATACATTGTTTTCGTGTACAAAGTACCTCGTTTTAGCGGCGTTTTGGTCCCCAGCTGCGAGATAAAGCAAATTTTCATAACTTTCAACTGTAAGTCAAGTTATCTCGCCAGTCTTTTACCCATTCTCGGCTCATAATTTCAGAATGGACTCCCATTACAACCTTCCATCGCTACGTTTTGATTTTGGGCATCAAACGCAGCAGTTTCTAAATCATCCACACATCTCTTAAAATTTGACTAATACGTCCCGTCACCTTCCACTACGCCCCGCCGAGTCTATGACTACAAACGTGGAGTTGTATTCTAAAACATTTTGTTCATCGTTGTGTAATTTTACATAGGTTTGCCTTGGTCGATTCTTAACACCAGTCTTAAGTTTAGCATACATACGGAGTATAACTATAACTGATTGCATGAAATTGATAATTTAAATGTTTGTGAAGATGTTGCTTTTTAACTTTAATTATATGTAATTGTCCTGTATTTGATTTTGTGAGGAAACCAAGTGTCTGGTTTGAAACACAATAAAATCTGGAATCTTGTTTTGCTAATGTTCAACATAAATAATTTATAAATTATCGGCCGAGGGCAGATTAGAGCGGATCAATCAATGATGTACAAAAAGTAACATGTAAAAGAAAAAACGCTATTACACGTCGCACGAAACTGGGGACAATTAGGGTAACATTATGGCGTCAAAATACCAAAACAAAACAATGAGCAGTATGTGCGGTGGTATACATCCCTTGCTTGGATCAAAGCTGTACTGGTCATTCTCCTATCCAACTCTGACTTATGGTTCTGCAGTAATACCTTACACTAACAATGACATTAATCTAATGGAAGGTCTGCACAAAGAGGTCGGAAAACGTATTCAGACATTACCAAAGAATACGCCAGACCCTGTCGCCACTAGTCTGCTTGGATGGATGTCTGTTAAAGCAAAAATTGACTGTGATAGATTGATGTTTCTGTATATGTTGTTAAGGCTACCTGTAAGCTGTATATATAAGGTCATTTGTTTAGAAAGGTTAATACGGATGATGTATTTAAAATCACCATCTCAAGGTCTGAAATCTCCATTATCTCAAATGTGGGATACTGTTGTGCAGTACAACCTCATAGACTATGTTAAGAACATGATTTTTAATGCAGAAATCCCTTCAAAACAAGAATTTAGAACTGTAGTCTACGGACGTGTCAAGAGTTTTCACAATTATAGTACTGTTTTATCATCATTAATGTATAAAAATCTCAACGTGGTGACAGGATCGTTGTCTATCCTAAAACCGAATGTATGGTGGGTGATCGCAAAAGAAAACCCCAATGTATTATACCTCTGTAAAATGATGGTCAAATTATTAACCTCGACATATTTTAACAGTAGACGCCGTGAGGGTGACACTACTTTATCAGAAATCTGTATATTTTGTGATCTTAACGAAAGAGAAAGTGTTAAGCATTTCTTGATTACTTGTCCAGCTTTTACTGATGTTAGAAAACCCTTACTCAATTTAGCGAGAGGTAATCTGAATGTAATGAACGACGATTATATTCTTAAAGTGATTCTAGGAACTGTATACAATGATGATAAGGAGACTCTGTTACTCATAGCTATGCATGTGTACGAGTTACACAGGCATAGGCAATTTCTTGTGGATAAAAGTTAGTTATCCTCTTTACCTTTAACATCAAGTAACACAAATATGTTTTATAATTTTATTTAATTTTCTCTACATGTTAATATGAATGTAACTCTCTTTTATTTAAGAGGTAAATAAATTATACATACATACATATAGGGCGCAAACAGCATTACAACGTCAAAATCGACGAGCGTCACATTTTTTTCAAGTTTAGTCAACCTCAAAATAAAATCCTTTATCCTTATCTAATCACGATAAAATTCACAGGACAATATTTCTAAAATGATTTTGAATTTTGAAAAACGGTCGGGAAATCCACTTGGGACGTTCGTGAAAATTGATATGTATGGAATTTGGGGGAAAAAACGGTGCGTCACATTTTTTCATGTCTCGAAAATCAGCTCTTATTATTAATATTATTTTCAAAATAAACAATCCGGTTATTGTTTTGTAAATTTCGCCGTGACAATATTGTGCAGTTAATTTTTCATTCAAATCAAATTTAAATAAGAAGGTCAAATTAAGGTAAACTTATCGCTTGTCCCCTTCGAATGAAAAACCTTAGGCTACATAATTTTAAAAATTGTAGCAAGCGTCCAAATAAGAAAATTTGAATTGTAGCCGTTAGGCAGTTATGACGTCATAAATACACATGGTCAATTGAACAAAATGTGAAAATTTCATGGGATTCTGATTATTATTTCAAAAGTTATCCTAATTCCAACGAACCGGTTAAAGGCCCCCTCACATATGAACGATTCCACCAGACGCAGTCTTGCGAAGTCAATTCTGGCGATTGGGAACGTAAACATGCGAACTGAAGCACATTTTTGCGCATGCTTCCGAAGCTTTCCGAGGGGGTACTTACATATACGAACACCCCAACGATGTATAACGTACACGTACTAATGGGAACGACTTTTACTCAATTCCTATTCGCAAGACTGCGCTTAGTGAATTCGTCCATATGTGAGGGGGCCTTAAGGGTAAAGTGTTACGTCTTACAACGTATTTGTCGATGTTGGGGTAGTTTTAACTTTAAAAAAATGGCAGATCACATCGAAATTTTCGAGCAAAAATAGTATCACTGAAACACGCATAAAAAATGCTTCAAAATGATATATGAAACAAATGCTTAGGTTTTTTACTTAGGCGGGTATTAACGTTTAAAGGTGACATTAGGCCGTATTTCTCTAATTGTCCCCAGGTCCGTGCACGTCATATACTATTGTGATGACTATTGCTCTCGACAGAAAGCTTCAATTTTCATTGCATCATATTTATTTATTTACCTGTATTTAAACAGAGTGGTTTTAAACATATGCAGTTACTACTTAAATGATAATAACACTATTTGCTTAATTCTATGAAGAATGTTTTTATAGTTTTTAATATTCTATCGTCCAGCGTATTCTCTCCGAATTATTGATCTGGCTATGAATTTTATGCACTAAACATAAACATGTAATACGTATCAGAATGATACCTACAATATTATATCACAAAGAACATTTTGTCATGACTATACATATTTTCTAAGTTCATCATCGTGCCACAGTGTAAATGTACTGTATGACATCCAAGGCAAAGTACTAACAAAGCCGGTGTGAAAGAAATTATGGTCCCCTGGGGATTATGGTCCCCTTTCCTAACGGCCCTTTCTGGCCCTGATTGTGTATAAATAATAAGGAAAATAATTGTAATCAGGTCACCATATAAATCAATAGAGACTAGATTTGATAGGACCACCTACGCTTTTACACTCTACGTGTATAGTGATAGACTCGGCGGGGCGTAGTGGAAGATGACGGGACGTATTGGTCAAATTTGAAGAGATGAGTGGATGATTTAGAAACTGCTGCGTTTGATGCCCAAAAATCAAGACGTAGCGATGGAAGGTTGTAGGCCTAATGGGAGTCCATTCTGAAATTATGGGCGAGAATGGGTAAAAGACTGGCGAGATAACTTGACTTACAGTTGAAAGTTATGAAAATTTGCTTTATCTCACAGCTGGGGACCAAAACGCCGCTAAAACGGGGTACTTTGTAAGCCTACACGAAAACAATGTATCGACTGAAAGGTATTTCTGTGAAGCTTTGTACGGAACAAGTTTGAAGAAAAACGGTGAAGTGTGAGACTCACAATCCTTGATTTTCAAACACTGGGGTAGGTTTTAAATTCAAATTAACGGTTTTTCGGGACGGAGTGGTTTCGATACGTCCCGAAGAGATACTACCGCGTGTGCATGCATGAGTTCATTCCCGGGAGTTCAAACTTGATCACGGCAAAAAAACAGGATGAATATTATGCATTGTCATTGGCGTGAATTATGACAAGATATGTGTGACCTTTAAAAGTTTTAGGCCTAAATGAATTCAAAATTATTGAACAAAAAGTCAAAAATCACTTTTTGATATTAAAAAGTTTATTTATTGAGCCTACGTAGCCTAGGGGTAGGCCTACTATAGCACTTGCGGATGACCTTTTTTGGTCATTACTGGGCCTTTTCTGAGGCCTTATTTTTTAATTTCAGGCCACATTTTGAATGAAGAAAATGGGCCTCAAAATTTCAAAATTTGGGCCCACTTTTGGGTTTTAAGAGCCCAAAGTATTTTTTCTCTGACCTGAAATTTGCCCCCCCCCCCCCTTCTTGGTTCCAAGATCCGCCCCTGTATAGATCTAGCTGGCATCTGTGACTCGCGCGCTTTATGAGTTCCTACACAGTCTGTATGTTAAAACAAAACGTAAAAGTAACTGCTAAAGTCAAAGTAACTGTCCTGGTCAGAATGAGTTCTTTGGAAAAATCTTAGTTGACCTGTTACCAGTGGTTACATGGACCATTCCTTTCATTTGAAAATCTTGAGAGGAAAAAAAGGCTTGGAGTCCAGAATGATCGGTCCACACTGATCACGTGATTGCATGCTCTGCGATAATCAGACCCAGCGCCATGATTGAAAATCAGATGGCTCAAAATTTAACTCCAGTTTAAGTCTTATACAGGTAAGTTATGCATGATATATTCGTTCATCATATGTCTAAATGTATCGTTGTAATCTTGAAGACCAGTGAGACCAACAAAATACACTATTGCACAGAAATTCTCTTCAGCTTGACATGAAAAGTACTTCCACATGTGATTGAAAAATGAAATCAGCATTTTTGCGCGAAAAAATAGAGAACTGAATCCCGGGCGGTTCACTGTGTACAAAATTTGGCGGGGGTCCTAGGCTGAACCTTCAGATATCAATATATTCCCATACCAAAATGTCAAAATTGGATGTGTTCCCATACCAACCGAAATAGTGCCCAAAAGCCATACCAAATGCCAGTATATGAAACCAGTGCCATACCAAATGTCAAAATATAGGACCAATCCCATGACTGGTCCAAAGTAGAATATTTTCTGGGAAAAAAGCTATTATTGAAGAAGGTCCCAAGAAGAAGACGATCTTTGAGGAAAATGAACCAAAACGACCTCATATTAGGATATCTAAAATTCTCAAATTCAGTGACCATGTCAAAACCATAGCAAACAATGCAAACAAAGTGCTTGGAATGGTAAAAAGATCTTTTACATACTGGGACACTGATACATTTAAATTACTATTCAATGGCTTAGTCAGACCCAAACTTGAGTTTGCACAATCAGTGTGGAATCCCTACATGAAGAAGGATATAGAAGCCCTAGAGAAAATACAAAGAAGAGCAACGCGTATAGTTCCAACACTTAAAGCTCTACCCTACCCCCAGAGACTAAAGGCACTAGACCTTACAACACTTGCCTACAGACGACTACGTGGTGATATGATAGAGACGTTCAAATACATCAACTCATACTATGATGTCAACACAACAGCAACATTACCTAATTTCCAAGCAAGAGAAACACACAATAGAAGAGGAAATTCCCAACCACTCCTAAAAGCCCACTGCAAAACCTCAATGAGACAAAACACTTTCAGCCACAGGGTAACAAACAATTGGAACAGTCTCCCAGAGTATGTAGTGCAGTCAGTCCATGTCAACCAGTTCAAGAACCGCCTAGATGCACATTGGTATCACCATCCTTTAAAATTCAATTACGAAATTGCTGGCGTACAAGTAGCCCCCAAGCTACGTTAGTTTCAAAAAGTATCAGAACTGTCATACAGGCAATGTCTGCCTAGGACGGAAAATTACTTATAAACTTATAAACTTATTATATGAGGCCAATTAGACTACTAGATACTAAACCAATTCCATACCATAATTGTGAGATAACATATTTTCCATGACCATTCTCATACCAGAAAGTTGAAAAATCTGACCATTTCCATCCCTCAAAAGTCATAATGAGGGTGGGCATTCTCATACCACATCCTAAAATTTGGGTCCATTGCCATACCAAATTTAAAAAAAAGTACCCCATGTGCGCCGAGGATCCCCGTCAAGGTTTATATACAGTGAACCCCCCGGGAACTGAATACACTGAGGTAAGAATTTATTACATGTACGACAGCATGTAATTTTCATAGCAAGTACAGGTAATTCTTTATGTTCCCCACTGTACTGGTGGAACAAAACATTTTTGAAAAAATTTCTTTACAATTTGGAACAAAATAAATAACAGGTGGATTTTCTTTCACCATTTCCTAACCATGGTCGTCTGAAAGCCCATAGTTTCCAATATTCTCTAGATACATATCCCCTTAAATTTGTATATTTTACATTTGTATAATCTCATCCACTGATGTATGGTCTCTAGTGTTGTCGCGATTAATCGATACATCGCGATATACATCGCCAAAGCTGGTTCTGGCGATGCATCGATGTCTGAAACAAAACATCGATGTGTTTAAAAAATTTTAATTTGCTAAAAATCGCCCTTTCTTATCTTATTTTGACGCAAATTACTTACCTTTTTTCATGTCTTATTTCATTTTCAAATGTTTTCTGATATTCTTTCGCTTTAAACTGTTTTAGCAAGTCGAAATGTACCATTAATCTAAAAAAATTACTTTCATTTCACCGTTACTATGTTCCCGGATGTACCAACGTACTCTTATTAATTTGTTCTGTTCGGTATTTTAGTGCATTAGCGTTCGGTATTTCAGTGCACTTTTCTCGAACTTTTTCTCGATGTACATCGCGATGTGCATCGATGTTTACTACTGAAAATTGCCGATGCATCGATGTACGATTATGGCACATCGCGACAACACGTAATGGTCTCTTGAAAATTCTTTTATTTTTAACATGGGAATTCCATCCTCCTAAGCAGGTATCCAGAATCCATACCTCCTTCTTCCCCCTGCTATAACCAATTTGGGAGCACCCGATTAAACTGAATCACGTGATCTAATTATGCGCGATGACTTATACATGATTTCTGTCGCAGTGTTGTGACAGCCAATCAGAATGCGAGTTCTTAGGTAAGGGTGCATGATGGGAAATTTCCTGCATTCCTCAATTGAGTCACATGTTATTTTCAAACAAGAATCACTGCTTCCCCACATTGTCTATATCTTCCAGTTTTGCACAAAGAGTGCACTTATGTGCCTAGAAAATACTTGGGTGAAGAATGTTTTGATAAAGTGTATAAAAAACAAGGAAATTCAGTGAAAAAATTCAGAACATTTTCAGAAATTTTTTTCACTGAATTTTCTCGTTTTTCATACATTTTACATAACAAATCTCAAGAATTAACTTGGCAGAGAAGCATCAAAAATAATAGGTTACAGACTTTATAGCCATACATGTCTGATACAATCTGTTTCTGCTTCAAAGCAACATGAGAGGATATATAGTTCTAGAGCTGATTAACTTTTGGGCAGCCATCTTGCTTTCTGGTGGCCATTTTGAAGCTTTTTTGAAAAACATTGTCATCGCTATTTCAGGAAAACCACTCATCGGAATTTCCTCAAATTTGCACACATGATAGTGGATATAAAGTTCTAGAGCTGATTAACTTCTGGGGGCCGTCTTGTTTTCTGGCGGCCATATTAAAGGTTTTTCGGAAAATCTTGACATCGCCATTTCAGAAAAACCGCTCATCAAATTTTCTCCAAATTCACACACATGATAGAGGATATAAAGTTCCAGAGCGGATTAACTTTTGGGTAGCCATCTTGTTTTCTGGTGGCCATTTTGAAGGTCTTTTGGAAAATCTTGCCATTGCCATTTCAGGAAAACAGCTCGTTGGATTTTCTCCAAATTCTAACAAATGGTAGGATATAAAATTCTAGAGCTGATTAACTTTTGGGTGGCCATCTTGTTTTATGGTGGCCATTTTGAAGGTTTATCGGAAAATCCTGTCATCCCCATTTTAGGATAATCACTCATCAGAGATTTTTCCAAATTCACACACATGATAGAGGATATCAAGTTCTAGAGCTGATTAACTTTTAGGCAGCAATCTTGTTTTCTGGATGCCATTTTGTAGATCACTTCATACTTCACTTAATACCGACCAAAAAATGAAAAATGTCAGGAAAAAAAAAATTTCCATTTTTTTTCATTGCTCTCATGCTTTGAGTTATATAGGAAACTAGTTTATACCAACAAGTGACTTTTGGGTCCATATATGGCAAAGAGGGTTGTTATTCGTGTGGTTGATTGACATGCGTCGCTATGCATAAGAAGTATGAACGACTTTCATGGTATTTTCCACGGAATTCATGGACACCCATGGTAAATCTTCCATGGATATTTACCATGATTTTCTATGGTAATTAGTGGTTTGGTAATTGTTTTTTCATGAACGTGAACATTTTCATGAACATGTTTTTACCATGACACTTGAGTTGTAAAATCAACAATTTTGGCAGGTTTTGTTTTTACCAAAATCTTCCAAATCCAATCAATGTTTTAACGAATGAATCCAAGCTGGATTGAGACTAATCATAGAAAGAATATGATGTTCCCCTAAGATTTTTGAGAAAGTCAACCTTCTTGACAAAAGCTGGTTTCAGGCCTGAAATACAACCATGTTTTTATAATCTAAATATAATGTTTAGTACATTCTGTACATAGTGTCATATGACACTTTTTATTTAATAATTTTTTAGATGATTTGACCCCACAATTACTTAATAATTTGTTTGCTGGGATTTGCTATCATTATCCCATCGAACGAAGTTTGGAAGGATATAGGGAACGCCTCTGTCTGTCCATCTGTCCGTCTGTCCATCCTTCCGTACGTACATCCGTCCGTCCATCCGTCTGGGCAATAACTCAAATACTGTAAGCCCGATTTTGTTCATATTTTGTACACATATACCCAATGGGGGTAGAAGTTCTGCTCGAGTACCGATTTCCAAAATGGCCGCTCATTTAAAAATGGCGGCCATTTTAGTGCCTATTTTACAGTAATTTAGGTTCTGCATATAAAACTGTAATAGCAATATGTTTTAAATGTAAAAAAAGTTATATAGGACATTGATTAAGCTAGAAATGTAAATACAGAAGAAATACCTGGCAGCCATCTTGAAAAATGGCTGCCTTTGCAGGTCTTTTTACAATTTTTGCTGTAACTTGAAAAGTAGTGGAGCGATTTTGTTCATATTTGGTATGTGAATACTTTAAGCATGGCACAATGTCTGATGACATTTTTGGTAGTAGGCGGCCATTTCGAAAAATTGCCGCCATTTTTACGTGTGTTATTTAAAGATCTAATAGCAAAGGTTTTGCAAAAATGAATCAATGTAGTATGAAACAAATGTATGTATAATGAAGAAATAAATATATAATGAAAAAAATAGATACGTGCTTGTAATATTGGTATTAACTTATGATTAAAAAGTGTCACTATCTCTTTCATTTTTCAACAAATATAGGCTCACGTGACATGTGACGCGGGGCAGGCAATTTTGATCTATCGTAGACCATATCAGTATCAAATTGCCGATATTTCAACCTCGTCTTGCGAGGCCATTTTGATTTGAAACATCTTGAATTTGGTGTCAAAATAAAGCTGGTCACGCCCACTTTCATAGTTATCAATGAATCATTTACTACGACTACTATATTCATTTAGGAGGCGTGTAAAGTTAACCAATCAGAAAGACAATTGTTCCATATATGGCAGTTCATTAACATATTCAGTGCTTACTACTGCTTTTCGCGTCATGACAACATGAGGGAACGTGAGTAGTAACCAATCAAGATGCCGTATTTTATCACGTGAGTTCAGAGTGACAAGTACACGCGTACGACATGTACTCGTAGTCTGAGCTGATTGCGATGTTGAACAATTTCTTCTCGGAATTTGTTCAGAGAAATCAGCGATTCTAAATTAAGGTAGGATCTGCCATTTCTTCCTGTTCAAGTTATAACTTATCTCTAATGAATACTAAAGTTTTGGATGAAGATATGAAGCATACGTTTAAATACGAAGCGATTAATTTGACGATCTGATTTTGCAATTTGCAATGGCCAATTCATAGCAAGTCTGCGTGTATTTGACAAGAGATAGCCACAAGTCTTGTATCTAAATGCTTGTTAAGCCTTACTCAAAAACAAGATCCATATTTTCTAAAGTTGATAACTTTGCAGAAAACCTGTTTTCATAACCTGATTTCCGCGTCAAAAATTCAAACTGAGTAATAGGAATGGATCGGATCCTCAGTCTCCTCGAGTCTTCATTCCAGAACTCACATTTTTAGTTGATTCTTCGACCGTCATAGTACTTGTCTAAAGTATCCATATTTGCTCTCTTACTGGTATACTTGGACACATTTTCCCCTGTATTTTCCCCAGTCAAATTACACCCTCTCGCCGATTTATAATAGCCATTTCTCAGAACCCGGGAATCAGAATCGCTGATGTTTGCCATATTGAACATGTTGAAATATGTACTGTAATATCTGTATTGCCTGCTACGCGTAATAGTCACGTGACTAGCGCGATACAGGAAAAATGGGGAATTTCGAAACAACAATTTTTGGGCACTTTTATTGCAAATTTCAGGTATCTATAAGTGTTTGTGGTATAAAATATCATCCCCAGACATAAATGAACATCCAAACTACATATTTTATTAAGTTTTGGAGCCTTTTTTACTCTTAAATTAACATCTTTAATATTTTTTACTGTAAGTCAAAAAGTAGTGGAGCGATTTTGTTCATATTTGGTATGTGAATACTTTAAGCATGGCCTAATGTCTAATGAAATTTTGGGTAGTAGGCGGCCATATTTACGTGTGTTATTTTACATTTTTTACTATAACTCAAAAAGTAGTAGAGCGATTTTGTCCATATTTTATATGTGAATACTATAAGCATGGCACACTGTCTAATGACACTTTAGGTAGTAGGCGGCCATTTTGAAAAATGGCCTCCAATTTTTACGTTTTTTACTATAACTTGAAAAGAAGTAGAGCGATTTTGTTCATATTTGATATGTGAATACTTATGAGCCTTGCACACTGTCTCATGACACTTCGCATAGTAGGTGGCCATTTTAAAAGATGGCTGTCATTTTTACATTTTTTACTATAACTCAAAAAGTATTAGAGCGACTTTGTTCATATTTGATATGTGAATACTTAAGCATGGCACATTGTCAAATAAAATTTTAGGCAGTAGTCGGCCATTTTGAAAAATGGCCACCATTTTTATGTGTGTTATTTTACATTTTTTATTATAATTCAAAAAGTAATAGAGCGATTTTGTTCATATTTCATATGCGAATACTGGTAAGGATTGCATACTGTCTTATGACATTTTAGAAAATGGCCAGCATTTACATTTATGCGTGGGCGATTTTTTAAAAATTTTATATGTGGCTACTTAAAAGCATATCACTTCTGCTGATGACAACTTGTCTAGTGAGCAACCATTTTGAAAATGGTGGCCTTTCTTATGGGTTTTATTTTACGATATTTGCTATATATTTTGTTTGTAAAATGCCAGCCATTTCTGTTCGATGGGATTCGCTACGCTTTGGCGTTGCTTTTGTTCTGGTTTGATTTTGGCACAAATGTAAAAAAGACAAAATAAGTGATGAAGTCAGCTCACCGGAATTCCCTTATTGCAGACTGAATAAATATTTAGTTTTATTTTATCAACAATGAGTTTTTGAATTGCCCTGTCTACACTCACAGGCAATAATAATTACTGAAGAGGGAGCACTAGGGAGAGCAAGATTATCATAAATAATAACAATTAAGATCAGAATATTTAAGAATTATGCAAGTGAACTCTGTTGCAGAGACTAATTTTTCATTATTAATTTGAAAGTTAAGAAACCTAATTAACATAGAACCATGGCAACCAAATTAAAAAAACAAAACTATGCAAATGATTATACAGGGTGGTAAAAAAAAGGAAACCCTTACACCATTTCCTCATATATTTTTTGTCATTTTAAGAAATAATTCCCTGATATTTTGCACATTTGTACATCATTCAATTTCCTACCAGCCTACTTTGTTTCATGACAATCAGATTGATAGTCACAATGTTACAGCACTTTACAGAACATGCCCTAGTGACCAATATTGCCCTGACGGGCCACCTGCATTCGCCGTCCAAAATGTCCCTATACCTGTAGGGATATGGCAAGGAAAAAGTGTATGAGAATGACCTCAGGACAATCACAAACCTCAAAAGTGAGATCATCCATATCATTCAGGCCATACCTGCTGAGGAATGCATTCGGCCCATTAATAACTGTGCAGGTTTGCCTACAGCGCGATGATGGCCAAACTTGAGGCATGTTATTCAAAGTGCTGTAATATTGTGACTATCAGTCTGATGGTCATGAAATTTGGTAGGGTGGTAGGGAATGGAATGTTGTACAGATATTTGAAATATCAGGGACTCCTTAAAATGACAAAGATATTAGGAAAATGCAGGGTTTCCATTTTTTTGACCACCCTGTATATTCCTATTCAAAGACAAATCAATTTTTGATTACTTAAGGTATATGTTTCATGTTTTAAGACAAATGGTGTTGTTACCCCAACCTCCTCCTTCATGCAACTTCTTTTTAAATGGATTATATATAATATTCTTACATAGACAAATTATGAATTTTGATCACTTAGGTATTACATTTCAGTTTGCAGCCATAGGCTTGTGTTTAATCTCCCATCTCAATTTCAAGTTAAAATTCTAAAAAAGTGTATACTTTTCTGTAGATTTTTTCAGATAATGTGCTTATAAAGGACTTCATTTGGAAAAGTTCATTTAGGAACATAATGTATTATTCTTTTTTTCTGCATCCAAAAGACCAAACAAATAGCTCATGGAAAACCATGGACTTTCAAAAGATTAGAAGAATAACCATGGAAAACCATAGCTTTTGATTGCACTTCCCGAAACATCAAAGAAATAACCATGGAAAAGCATGGCTTTCAATTGCAATCAACCAACTTCCATGGCTTTTGATTGCACTTTCCTTTACCTCAAAGAAGTAAACCATGGTTTTTTATTGTGTTCTCAATTGTAAGAAATGTAATTGAAGAAAATGAGTTATTTCTTTATTTAATTATTTCATAAAGATTTTTATAACTGAAAATTAAAGAAAGTATTGAAACAAAAAAGAGCTTGGGCTAGTTTGAAAAGGTTGGCCTAAAAAATAAGCAATCCCTATCTAGTCTTGATCTACACAAAAACCCTTTGCACAATTCTCTTTTAAATCGTATGGCCTACTCTATGCTGCATTAACTGCATTATCATATTTCTTTATAGAAAAGTTACATAATTTTACATATTTCCTCATTCGTAAGGAAACAGTATTTGTCCGGTTGAATTTGCTACTCCGTGGAGTAGCTTTTTCTAGTTTCTTCCCTGTCCCACTTTTCCCACTACTTAGGCCCTTACAGATAAACACAATACTCTTTCAGATTCCTTGATTATTAAAACTTATTTTATGACAAAATATCTTAATATCATTATCATTTTTTCTTTCAGCTCAGCAATGGATGACATACAATGGCTAGGTACAGACAACTCTAACTTTGAGCCACTGAAGTTTAAAGTGTTTCATTGTCAAGATATCCTCAAGTACAGATACATGGTCATAGTAGGAGGTTCAGGTAGGTCAAGGTTTCCTTATAAACATTATACAAATATTTCATTCTCTTAAAGTGAACACCTGTGCATCTTTCATGAGCATTATTCCCTTGGAATTTTTGAACTTGTGAAAGATGCACAGTTCACTGTTGAGGAACTCTTCAATCTGTTAACAAAAACAGATCTGTTTCCATAACAAAATCAGTCATTAAACCCAGAAAAGTCACAAAAACCAACAGAAATTTATTTTAACAGCTGGAAAAAATTAAACAACCTGGAACACTGGAGAATCAAGGGGGACCCAGATTTAAAATCAGAAGAAAAAATTCTGCGCAAAAATTTTTGAGCCTCTGAATTCAAAAATTGGTCTCTAATTTTTAAAATTTAATTATGTCCCCACCATATAGTGTGGGGCCATATTGTTGGCCAAGGCGTATGTCCAAAGAGGGTAAACTATGAGAAGTAGTAAGGATCAAAACCTTTAACCCACCTACGTGCAGTCTCAAGTCTGTGGACCCTGAAGAATCAAATCAAGACAAAGAAAGAAGACAACGAATGAAGACACTGATGCAGCAGCAAAAAATGACGTCTGTCCGTCTGTCTGTACTTCTTACAATTTTCTCCAAAACCTTTCTATATTTAAATATTTTCCAAAGTATTATGTGATATTGTATTCTTCATTTTACACCTAAAAATGATTCATTCTGACCATGGAGATATTTGCCCATAATAGCACCTGTTCCTTTTGATGATGCCTGATGCCTAAAAGGATGCAGGAGCTCTGCTTAAGAAGAAATTTTCAAGATGGCAGCTGAATTTCAAAATGCCCGCCATTTGTCTTAATAAAACATAATATTTGATAACTCAAATACCAGTAGACGGAATTGGTTCATATTTTATATGCTGATACCTAAGGACTAACAAGCTCAAGACAAAACCTGTTTTGTTCGGTGGGATTTGCTACTCCATGGAGTTGCTGTTTTCTAGTCAACTCAGAATTCTTAGATTAAAAGGTACATTATAATCTATAGCCTTGCCCAAGGCTGTGTCTTTTTATTTTTTAAAATTTTATTTTCATATCCTCCTTGTACCAATCACTTTGACTCATGCTTTACCAACTCTTTGTTATTGTCCGTCAACTTTGACCAATCAATAACGGTGCTGCAGGGTTAGCTCATTATTTATGCACAGCCAAAACAAGTACACTAAATAAACAAATATACGAGATAGACGTCCTTGATCAAATCATTGAAAATTTTTGAAAAAGTCTTAGTTTGATTTGTTTACTTGGGTATTAGGGTATTTTTGATTGGTCAATCAGACTGAAGTCACGTGTTGAACTCCCTTCAGTCCTTTTCAGTGTCTCATTTAGATAAGTTGAAAACTCACACTGCCACGGAGTATGGTCAAACGATTATCAACACGCTTATTGACCATGGGGCCATCTTGCTCATAAATATGGTTTTGTGATATCCCTGACAAATATGCATAGGATTTATGGAAAGCTCGAAACCGTTAAATAACTGATCGTAGTATCTGTGAAGCTGGTATGGGTGCCACAAGGCTGTATATAATTGAAAATCAAGATAAATAAAAGATAAAACAGACTTGGGAAAGGCTATATAATCTAATATGTTAAACAATATAAGATTCAGTTTCTATTTCAACCACATACTTTCTACTCGTATGTTGTCCCAAAGAAAATTTTCTTATTGAATTGATGACATTTATCTAGTTTTTGGCTCACACAGTGAGCCTATGGGATCGACCAGACATCCGTCCGTCCGTTGGTCCATCCGTCCGTCCGTCCGTCCGTCCGTCCGTCCGTCAACATTGGCCGCACAAATTAAAACTGCTATTCGGATTGAGTCATTTCCACATTCATTTTATGCATATCCATAATGCCTATTTGACCTATCATCGCCATTTCCCAAGTTCGCCCAGTTTCCGAGAAATTGCGGATTTTGACGTCAAAAAGTCAAATTTTCTGTAAATACTAGGCACTTTGTTGAAGTAGAACTTTCAAATAACTTTTAGTAGTTGCTGTATATGCAACTTATGTCCTCTGAAGATTTAAATGCTCTTGGAATTACAGTTTTTGGTTTTTACTTATAAAATTTGACAAAAAGTAGGACTTAGTCATTTTCAAGAAACTTTCTCATGTATAAAGTCAATGGCAGGTTTTGTGATTGACAAGTTTCTCAAAGTTTGCCTTATACTTGATCATTTCTTGCAATGAATTACATCATTACTAGATTTAAGCATTCCCTACATATTGCTCAATATATGTCAGCATCAAAATTTTACCGTTTTTGAGATATTTGACGTCAAAAAACAGTAAAAATAAGTTATTTTCAACTTGCTTCAATTTGACCAATTTTTTTTTTGGAAATCATCTACAAGTTGCCAGGAGTTCAAATCTGACATTAGTCTTAGGATTTGACCTTTACTTGACCTTCAGTGACCTTCGAAAGGTCAAAAAGTTGATTTTTCAAATTGATTTTTGGATGTAAATTTTGGTCAGCTTAATCACAAAAGACCTTACTGAGCTCTGAATTAGTAAAATTTTCAAGGTCAAAGGTCATCAAACTAGGTCACACAACTGTGCTATCTAAGTTTCTCAAAGTTCGACACTACAAATCCAAATCAATATTTTTGTTTGAAAGTCAGAATATACATTCCTCTGAAGGTTCCAAACTTAGTATAGTAGGAACAAGGGGTTCCCATGCACCCATAAGGTGTGAATAAGTTACATACATTTTTGTAATCCCTAGGGTGTCTATTTAATGAATCCATTTGTTAACATTGCCAACTAATGTCCCATAGTACTTTTATGGCGGCATTCAGTTACCATGGTTACGCATCTTTAGACATCTTACCTTGGTATCTTAAATCATTTGTAGCTCTGTCATTATTTGGTCTATAGAAATGATATTGGTACCAAATTAAACCTCGTTTAATTTCGAATAAATTTATGATATTCAATTATGCAAATTATTATGTCCCCACCACATAGTGTGGGGCCATATTGTCGGCCTAGGCGCGTCCGTCTGTCTGTCCGTCTGTCCGTCTGTCTGTCCGTACGTCCGGCAGTTTTCTCCAAAACCGCTACAGATATCACCTTCAAATTTTCAGGGATAACTTATGAGTGCATACAGATGTGGATGAAAAAAAATTTACTCGATACCTACTTCCTGTCGGCCATTTTGAAGTCAAATGCTAAAATCCTTGTCTGCAAACTTTAAGAAAAACTGCTTCACAGTTGCTTTTAAAACTTTAACATCTTGTTCAGCTCACTTCATTCTAGATCTGATTAGGTTTTGGACCTGCTAGCTCAGTCATGTCAGCCATTTTGAATGTCTTAAGAAAAGTTAGCGCGCGATAATACTTTGTATCATATTGAATGGTGTTTTTGAGTTTTCATACTTTAACTATTTGGTAGCTTTATAAATAATTTCAGATGTACTTTGCTGTAAAAGCCTACTTTATTGTTAACAGTAGTTATATGTGATAATTTTGTAAAAAGAAATCAGCAAAAACTCATAAGGACTTTTTTATTGTCGGCCATTTTGGATTTTTCGGTCCTAAAATCTTGTCTGTGAAGTCTTGTCTGCGCGTTTTCAGGTGAACCGTTTGGTGGATCAATTTCAAATTTTCAGGGATGATTCTTAGTATAAAAATCTAGATCTCATTAGTTTTTTGGCATTCTGGGTAAATGTCAAGGCAGCCATTTTGGATTTTCCGTCCTAAAATCTTGTCTGTAAAGTCAATTGTCTACTCGTTTTCAGGTGAACTGTTTCGTAGATCAATTTCAAATTTTCAGGAATGATTCTTAGTATGAAAATGTAGAACTGATTAGTTTTTTGGCATTCTGGGTAAATGTCAAGGCAGCCATTTTGGATTTTCCGTCTTAAAATCTTGCCTGTAAAGTCTTGTCTACGCGTTTTTAGGAGAACGGTTTGATAGATCAATTTCAAATTTTCAGGGATGATTCTTTGTATGAAAATCTACATCTGATTACTTTTTTTGCATTCTGCGTAAATGTTAAGGCAGCCATTTTGGATTTTCTGTCCCAAAATCTTGTCTGTAAAGTCTTGTCTACCCGTTTTCAGGTGAACCGTTTGGTAGATCAATTTCATATTTTCAGGGATGATTCTTAGTAGAAAATCTACAAACAGATTAGTTTTTTGACATTCTTGGTAAATGTCATGGCAGCCATTTTGGATTTTCCATCCTGAAATCTTGTCTGTAAAGTCTTGTTTACATGTTTTCTGGTTAACTGTGTGACGGATCAATTTCAAATTTTCAGGGGTGGTTCTTAGTATGAAAATCTAGAACTGACTAAATTTTTGGCATTCTGGGTAAATTTTAAGGTGGCCACTTTGGATTTTCCGTCCTCAAATTGTGTTGGTAAAGTCTTGTCTACTCATTTTCAGGATAACCATTTCACGGGATCACCACTTGGTGGGGACATTTTGTACACATTTGTGTTCTTGTCTAATTTGCATAAATTATGACGTCATCAATCTCTTTTTGGTTCAGAATTTCCAACTATAGCAACGTATCTATTAGAACTGAGACCGTATGGCAAAATTTCTGAAAGGTTTTGTACTTTATTCTATTAGTAGAAGGTATAAGCAACATAAAAGTGAAAACAGATTCAAAATTGAATCAGTATTACGAAAGTTATGTAACTTTCGAGGCAGCTATCGTGAATGTCATTATTTGACAATAATATACATTACGTCTTACATTGGAGTCTTGAATCAATGTAGCTTCGCTATTATTTGGTCTATAGAGATGATATTGGTATCTGATTAAACCTTATTTACTATATGGTTACAATATTCAGTTATGCAAATTAGCTAATTTGCATTAATTGTGACGTCATCAATCCATTTTTGGTTCAGAATATCCTAGTATAGCAACATATCTATAGAACTAAGGCCATATGACAGAATGTGTGCATAGTTTTGTCCCTTATTTGATGAGTGGAAGATATAAGCAACATTAGAGACAACAAATCTTCAAAATTGGATCAGAATTAACAAAATTATCCAGCTTTGGAGGCAACTACTGTGAACGTCATTGTTTGACAATTATAAAAAGAATATTAAATTAACAAAAAAAGTAACAACCATAGTTGTTTCAATCTTATTGAGTAAAAATGTGCATGTATTGAACTGAACTAATAAGTATGTGGAAAGGTTACATGCATTTTGACTATCATTCACAGGGGTCAAAACGGTTATCTCGACCCTGTATAATTAAAGATCCAATCTTATAATTTACCATGCACTTTCAATGATTCATATAAATAGTATACATATAGTCTGCTTTTCATCATATTCTTCATATTCTTGAATCTTAAAGCATCTGAAGTATATAGCATGATTAGAAGTGAAGATGATTCATCATATGGTTTATGTAATATTTCTAACATTTCAGATGCTATGGTAACATCACTTGATAATGAGGTTTTTACATTTCACGTTCTTAATGAGTTAAAAGGAAGTTATTCTCCCTTTGCTTTAGAGATAAATAGTCACATGAATTTGTTTAGAAAAATTATAACTTAATTAATTTAACCCCCCCCCCTGACAGCCCCATATTTGAAGATTTTGGTGAAACCTGGCAAAATACATTAATTATTAGGTTCCAGAAGCCCCCAGAAGCTATATGATGGCCCCCAGTGGCCCCAAGAATCTATACAGGGGCCCCAAGTGGCCCCCAGAAGCTATAATGTGCTCCCCAGAAGCTATATGTTGGCCCCCAGAAGCTGAATAGTGGTCCCCAGGAGCTATACGGTGGCTCCCAGAAGCTATATAGGAAACCCTGTGGCCCCCAGGAACTATACGGTGGCGCCCAGAAGCTATACAGGGGCCCCAAGTGGCCCCAAAAAGCTATACGGTGGCCCCCCAGAAGCTATGCGGGGCCCCCAGAAGCGATACGATGGCCCCCAGAAGCTATACAAGGGCCACCAGAAACTATACTATGGTCTCCAGAAGCTATATGGTGGCCCCCCAGTGGCCCTCGGAAGCTATTTGATGGCCTCCAGAAGCTAATTAGTGGCCCCCAGGAGCTATACGGTGGCTCCCAGAAGCTATACAGGGGACCCCAGTGGCCCCAAGAAGCTAAACGATGGCCCCCAGAAGCTATACAGGAGCCCCAAAAAGCTACATGATGGCCCCCAGAATCTATATGATGGCCCCAAATGGCTGCCAGAAGATGTGAAGGGCCCCCAGTAGCCCCTAGAAGCTATACGGTGGCCCCCAGTGGCCCTCATAGGCTATATGATGGCCCCCAGAAGCTAAATAGTGACCCTCAGGAGCTATATGGTGGTTCCCAGAAGCTACACAATGGCCCCCAGAATCTATATGGTGGCCCCCAATGGCTCCCAGAAGCTATAAAGCCCCCCCCCCCCCAGTAGCCCCTAGAAGCTATACGGTGGCCCCCAGTGGCCCCGAAAGCTATATAGTGGCCCCCAGAAGCTATAAAGGGGCCCACAGTGGCTCCCAGAAGCTATACGATGGCCCCCAGAAGCTATGCAAGGGCCTGCAGAAACTGTACTATAGCCCCCAGAAGCTATACAGGGGCCCCCAGTGGCTCCCAGAAGCTATTCAAGGGCCCGCAGAAACTATATGGTAGCCCACATAAGCTATACGATGGCCTCCAGAAGCTATACAGTGTCCCGCAATGGGCCACCATGTAGCTTTGGGGGGCACTGTATAGCTTCTAGGGGCTACTGGGGGCCCTGTATAGCTTCTGGGAGCCATTGGGGGCCATCATATAGATTCTGGGGGCCATCGTGTAGCTTCTGGGGGCTGCTGTATAGCTTCTGGGGGCCATGGTATAGCTTCTTGGGGCCACTGGGGTTCCCTGTATAGCTTCTGGGTGCCACCGTATAGCTCCTTGGGGCCACTAATTAGCTTCTGGGGGCCATCATATAGCTTCTGAGGGCCACTGGGGGTCACCATATAGCTTCTGGAGACCACAGTATAGTTTCTGTGGGCCCTTGTATAGCTTCTGGGGGCCATCGTATACCTTCTGGGGGCCACTTGGGGCCCCTGTATAGATTCTTGGGGCCACTGGGGGCCATCATATAGCTTCTTGGGGCTTCTGGAAAAAAATAATTAATGTATTTTGCCAGGTTTCACCAAAATCTTCAAATATTGGGGCTGTCAGTAGGGGGTTAAACTAAGTTATAATTTTTTTAAACAAATTCATGTGACTATTTATCTCTAAAGCAAAGGGAGAATAACTTTCTTTTAACTCATTAAGAACGTGAAATGTAAAAACCTCATTATCAAGTGATGTTACCATAGCATCTGAAATGTTAGAAATATTACATAAACCATATGATGAATCATCTTCACTTCTAATCATGCTTTATACTTCAGATGCTTTACGAATCAAGAATATGAAGAATATGATGAAAATCAGACTATATGTATACTATTTATATGAATCATTGAAAGTGCATGGTAAATTATAAAATTGGATCTTTAATATACAGGGTCGAGATAACCGTTTTGACCCCTGTGAATGATAGTCAAAATACATGTAACCTTTCCACATACTTATTAGTTCAGTTCAATACATGCACATTTTTACTCAATAAGATTGAAACAACTATGGTTGTTACTTTTTTTGTTATTTAATATTCTTTTTATAATTGTCAAACAATGACGTTCACAGTAGCTGCCTCCAAAGCTGGATAATTTTGTTAATTCTGATCCAATTTTGAAGATTTGTTGTCTCTTTAATGTTGCTTATATCTTCCACTCATCAAATAAGGGACAAAACTATGCACACATTCTGTCATACGGCCTCAGTTCTAATAGATATATTGCTATACTAGGATATTCTGAACCAATAATGGATTGATGACGTCACAATTAATGCAAATTAGCTAATTTGCATAACTGAATATTGTAACCATATAGTAAATTTAATAAGGTTTAATCAGATACCAATATCATCTCTATAGACCAAATAATGGCGAAGCTACATTGATTCAAGACTCCAAGGTAAGACGTATGTATATTATTGTCAAATAATGACATTCACGATAGCTGCCTCGAAAGTTACATAACTTTCGTAATACTGATTCAATTTTGAATCTGTTTTCACTTTTATGTTGCTTATACCTTCCACTAATAGAATAAAGGACAAAACCTTTCAGAAATTTTGCCATACGGCCTCAGTTCTAATAGATACGTTGCTATAGTTGGAAATTCTGAACCAAAAATAGATTGATGACGTCATAATTTATGCAAATTAGATAATTTGCATTATTGAATATCAGAAATTTATTGGAAATTTAACGAGGTTCAATTTGGTACCAATATCATTTCTATAGACCAAATAATGACAGAGCTACAAATGATTTAAGATACTAAGGTAAGATGTCTAAAGATGCGTAACCATGGTAACTGAATGCCGCCATAAAAGTACTATGGGACATTAGTTGGCAATGTTAACAAATTAATTCATTAAATAGACACCCTAGGGATTACAAAAATGTATGTAACTTATTCACACCTTATGGGTGCATGGGAACCCCTTGTTCCTACTATACTAACTGTGTGAGCACAGGACCGTGGGTCCTTCATTACCATTTTAAAGATTTTGTCAAAGCTCAAGAACATTCACACAAGATCATCAGAAAATGTATTGAAACTCTATGACAATATTGATAATTTTACAGATGCCCTTAAAATATAGGCAAATTCAACTATTGTTGCGATTTCAAATGATTCTATTTGAACTTTTAGTCCAACGTTCTGTGTACAAGGATTTCGTACTGATGCTACAAGAGAACCGACATCTAAACGACAATGAACTGAGAAAGAAGGTAACGTTTCAGAATAATATGCATGGCAGGCCCGTAGCCAGGGGGGGTTCGCAGGGTTCCAGCAAACCCCCCCCCCCAGGCCAAAAATTCTTTCAAAATCATGCAGTTTTTCACCATTTTGAGCACTTCTAAAGTGATTTTAGCCATATTTGGGTCAAAATTGTCAAATGTGAACTCCCCTGGAAATTTTTGAAAACTGAACCCCCCTTGGCAAATCCTGGCTAATGGCCTGCATGGAGTCAAATATTATAAAATCAAATGGCGCTTTGTAACCTTTTGCAGATTTTGATATCTTTGTATTTTCAAGAGTGCCAATTATTCCTTCCAACAGCATGGAACCCTGCTTGAATGCCCATCTTCTCCTTATAGGTATAAATTGACTAATACGCCATACATCAGAATGACAGCAATTTTCCTACGTCCTTTGTTAAAGAGCTCTCATTTTGGGTACTGATTTTTTACATCCAGGTTCTTTCCAATTGAAATGTATAGGGTCCTATTTTGAAAGCACCATTCCAGCTTTATTTCACAAAGCTTGGGAGAATTTGGTATTAATCGATGAACAAATGAAAATTTGTCCTTCTGGATGCGATGCTTGCGGGAGATATTCATGTTAATGACTATGTCTGTCTCATATTAGTCTATTTGTTTTAGTGCCAAATTACTTCATTATAATGAGCAATTTGCATTTCCTTAGAGATCAATGCTTAATACAAATAAAAAGGAATTACTTTTGTCTTTTAACACCTCCTCTTTCAATTAGTATATTCTATTAGCATATTTGTGACAGCAAGTGCATTTTGCATACTATTTGGCTCACACAGGCGTCAGACTAGGTGTCAGTCCATCCGCCATCTGTCAACATTAGCCGCACAAAGAGTTATGTAAGATATGGCAAGCTTTTTCAAAGGGCTATATCTTTAGTTTTAAGAAAACTTTAACCACAAAAACAAATGGTTATGTTAGATCCATGTCTTGTCTTCAATAAATGACAGTAGGATGATAATAATCAAGTTGAATGGATTAGGTTATTTCTCAACTTGCTTCAATTTGACCAATTTTTCAAGAAAAATCATCTACAAGTTCCCAGGAGTTTAAATCTGATCTTAGTTTTGAAATTTGACCTTCAGTGACCTTCCAAGTTCAAAAAGTTTGTTTTTCAAATTGTTTTTTGGGATTTAAATTTTGGTCAGCTTAATCACAAAAGACCTACTGAGCTCTGAAAGGTAAAATTTTTAAGCTCAAAGGTCAATGTCATCAAACTAGGTCATAAACTGTGCTATCTAAGTTTCTCAAGACTACAAATCAATATTCTTGGTTGAAACTCAGGATATACATTCCTCTATAGGCTCTACACTGTGTGAGCGCAGGGTCATGAGTCCTTCATTAGAACCAACCTGACTAAGCACTTCACCCGATTGATTAGGCAAATGGACTTAAATGCTTCGTTTCCTATCAGGTCAAAATCATCTTGCAAGCAAGGTAAAAAACAAGCACAGAAAATAAATGCTGAACATTTTACATATTTTTGCAACTTGGCTATAGATGATATTAAACTATTAAATCTCTGAGGCATGCTGCTCACACACTCAATCAAATATGATAAAAACTGTTAATACTGAAGTGAAAACAGCATTTGGAGTTCAGAGATCTAAAGAAATGAATGCTCTCTTTTAACAAGTGTGTTTTTAAATAATTCTTGATTTAAAAGATGCCATATGGTTGACAATGTTATCAAAAATGAATGAATAATGTGATGCAAACAACTTTCCCATCTTTCAATGGGATTGCTAAAAACTTGACACATATATATTGGCAGATCGAATTTTTTTTGATTAAATCTATTGTAAGTAAGTTTGAGCTGTTTTTGGTGTCTAATAACCCAGATGCGAGTAGAAATAATCTTGATTTACGTCATTAAAAATTCAAAATTCAATTCAAATGTGGTTTTAAAAAGTGTTTATCAACTTTGAAAAATTAATTTTCTTTGAAAATGTGACTTCTAGCTCGGGGAGATTCCCCATAGACCCCATGCTATAAAATCACAAAAAATGAAATATCTTTTCTTTTAGTGGACAGATAATATTTTGCTTTACTGGACATATTTTCATTAGTATAAGTATCAGGCACATAAGGGTTATATGAAAATTGAGCCACTTAAATTGATAATATTCAAGTTTAAGGGAACTTTCTTATATACCTGCCATGTTAATTGACCCGAATCAGCCACCTGGTGGTGAAACTGGTAACTACCTACACGCATTTGGGTAATTCAAAAGACCAGGTATTTATTAATCCATTGAAAATACTATGAAGATCAAAGTAAGACTTCATTTTGCCAAAGACTGCTGAAAATACCCATTGAATCTCTTTTAAGGGAGGCATGAAGGATTAAGTGAACATTTTACCATGACTACTTCCTGACTTTTAACTCAGTCTTAACATTCTATCCATCTCCAAACATCTGATCACCAAGGAATGATAATAGAGAATAGTCCTGTCCTGTCTGTATTCTGGTCTAACATGCCAGAGCTATCTCATCTAGAGGCAGCTCTGATCATTCAGATGATACAATAAGGCCTATGCTTATATAAGGTACAGATGTAGCATAAATCCAAATGCAAAGGCCATTTATCATGACTATTCAGGGATTTTAAGGGCACAATCTTGTTTTTGTTTTCTGAAAAAGGTTGACAGGGAAACAGAGAATTTAAGTCCACTGGACTTATTTGAAAATTACCTTTCATTAGTTGAAGATTCACATGTATATAGAGTTTTCACTCAAAAACCAGTTATAGGAGCTCTGTTTGTGATGAATTAGATCAGTTTTGATTTTTTTGTCATTGTGCCAAAAGTCCCACTCATCCCTTCTCTATTATATTTGTCTTCTTGTTACACCTAGCTTCAAGCATATGTTCTATTAAAAATAAATTAGTTTTCTTAAAAATTAATAATGCTCATCATAAAATGGTTTAATTGAAGGGTGAGCGTTCATTCTTGAATGACAAGCTACTCAGTGGAGGTTCTCTTGGGGAGATGACCAATGCACCTACATACTCAGAAGTGAGAGAATACAAGACTGACTGCCATCATATTGGATTCCACTTCATGACACATGCTTATGGTGATCGTATGGAAGCCTTACTTAATTCTTGGGAGGTATGTAAGGTTGTCATAATGATCCCTCTATTGAAATGCATAACAATTACTACTGATACTCATCTCAAACCCTGACATGGTACATTGCACAATGCCTAGAAAGAGTGTTTAATAATGAAAGCAGAGTACGTTATGATCTCTAGTGTTTTTACTGCCAGAACTAATTGCTCTAAATTCTTTTATGCAGAATGGTTCTAAGAAGCCTGATATTCTGATTATGAACAGCTGCCTCTGGGACCTTCGCAGGTGAGGCATTTAAAAATACATATATTAAAGCCATAGATTTAAATAAATACCCCTCCCAATAAATAAATAAATAAAGAATATTTTGTGCAAGGTTAATCTATATTATGATCTGATCGTAAACTCTGGAAGATAACATAGCAGCATTTACTTATTTAGTCTTGATCTGATTAACCATGATTGTGTTCTGCTACAATTGTAGCCTCTGACCTCTTGTTTTAACATTGTAGTAAGGGTGTGATAGGTACAGTAGGGGAATACCAACAGAAATTGACAACCCTCTTCCAACGTCTCCATCAAGTTCTGCCTGACACTTTACGTATCTGGAGCACCGCAGCACCTGTGACTAAAACGGCCAAGGCTGGTTGTATCCCAGATCATCTGAGATGCCACAATGATACCCTCCCTGTTGAGATCATGCAGTGCAACTGGCATGCTAAGCAGTTGGCTGATCAATATGACATGGGTATCGTAGATATGGAGTACTACTTCCAACACCAATTGTATAACATGGCTGGGGATGGTGTACACTGGAATGGATTAGCACATCGCAGGATGAGTAACATTATTCTGACATACATTTGTAACATATCAGAAATTGAACTGCCTCCTGCCCCAGAAGCTTCTGTACCTCTTGGAGCAAACTATTATCAGATGTTTGGGCAGGGAAACCATGAAAACTGTAATATAGCACCACCACCACCCATGATGAATTCTCTCCAGAACATGTCTTATGTACCACAAATGAAACTTGATCTTGATCCTTGCAACTATGACTTTGGTTTAAACAGACTTTTTCAAGGAGACTCATTCAATAATGTAGATCGCTATGGAGGTCCCATTGGGAAACAAAATAGATTTGGTGAAATAGGTAGCAATGTGAATGAATGGAGCAAGTATGATGCCAATATGGGCAACAGAGGTAGACCAAGACATAGAGACAACAAATGGTTTGGTAATGAAGGCAATCATCAATTTGTTGACAATGACATGAGAAATAATACTGGTCAAAATAGGCCTGACCCAACCTATACCAGAAGTTTTTCTAATGGTCCTTGTAGACCAGTAAAACCATTTGTTGGTTTCAATTCAAACCAGTTCCACAACAGTCAAATGGGTGGGGAGATTGAGAGTGTGAATCCTGAATACATTACATATTCAAATGGTATTCCCATGGTTAATCAAAGAAGGTACAACACCGGTCGGTTTTCTGTTGATAACCAAATTGATCCCACCCAATACTCATTTAAAACCTTTGGTAAGAAAAAACACAAGCGATCTAAAACTGTGCCAAATGTCAATTGGTCTTGTAGTAAAAACTCAAGCATAAGACAGAAAACAGGCATTGTAACCATAAATCCTAAAGTTGATGGCTTAGTACAGGTTAAAGACGGTATATCCAAAACAACTGACATTCTAGTTGAAAAGTCTAAATGTGAAACAAAAGCCATAGAAAATATAGATAATCGGCAAGATGAGGACATCTTTGACAAAACAGATGCCCAATCAGTAAATACCTTACACTTACAAACCAAACAGGAAAATGGAAAAATGGCAAGAGATTGTGTTACCAAAGAAAAAGGAACCATTAAAACTGATATAGTTGTAGAGAAGGTTTTGACGAAGAAAGACAAAATTCAAGTGTTGGATTTGAATACTTCATTTACCAAAGATACTATCTTAAAATCAACAGATGCGTTGGAATGTGCTACACTCAATATGACTCAAAAGGACATTGGGATGTCAATATCAGAAGCCTATAAAAGGGACAAATCAGTGCTGCAAGTAACTAATGACCCAAATGTGTGTCATTCTTCTGATATTAAAGATGAAAGTGAAAGTGGCAAGAATGTTGAAAATAAAGATGACAGAACAGATGATGTTCACATTTCACCTGATTTGAACAAAAATGCTCAAATCAAAGACAATATACAAAAATGCAACATTAAAGTTGAAACATCAAGGGATATTGAAAAGAGTAAGGATGTTGGCTTTAATGGTGACACTATAGATAATGTTAGTTATATTGAACCTGATATGAACAAGGATCCTGAAATCAAAGACAAGAAATCAATACATGACAAAATTAAAGTTGACTTGACAAAGCATATTGAACAAGATAACACATCTAGTGATGTTATAGATAAAGATGACATTACCAAAGTTGTCATGTCCAAACATGACTTGACCAAACATACTGTAACTGCATGTGATGTGACAGATGATGCACAAATCAAATGTAACATTACAAAGAATGCCAAGATGGATGATGATACAATAGCCACATGCGATATGGCCAAGAATGATAGTGGGAATGAGGACAGAGTGCAGCGTGTTAGATGTGACACTGGGGATACAAGAAACAGAGGTATAGTTGAAGCAGGAGCTAGAGATAGAAATTATCAAAATGTCAGTACCAGGAACACATATTGCTCTTCATTTAATACCTCTCGTAATTATGACACCAATCAATTCAATTATATGAGCAATTCATACAACACACCCCTTTATGTGAGCAATCCATATGACACACCCATTTCTGTGTCCAATCAATGGAACACACCTGTCTCTGTGAACAATCTATATAACACACCCTTTTCTGTGACCAATCCATATAACATTCCATTTCTTGGCAGTCAATCTCAGTTTAATAGCGGTCAGTTTGCAGGTAATAACAGTATTCATAACGATGAACACAAACGGGTCAGGACTGTTCACAGCATTCATCTTGATAAAAGTAAACACAATTCAAGAAATAAGGGGAAGAGAGTTTCCACTCCTTGTAACAAGTCAGAAGAAACAGAGAATGAATCTGACGCTGTCAGCAGAGATAAATTAAAAGGAAACGGTTCTGATAACATTGAGAAGAACAATGTCACAATAAGCAGCACTCACTCTGACAAAACTAAATGTCAGGATGACAACATAAGTGATTCTGTTTCTAAACAAAAAAATGGCATGTCAGATTATCAGATCACCAAAGATAATAAGACAGAAGATACAAGCATCAAATCTGATATGGAAAAGGATTTGAGTGTCAACGATGATATTGTAGAGGCTCCTAAATGTAATCCTGATAGCAGAGTTACTGTTGAAATTCAGGCTGGCATGAAGGACACTAGCATTGAATGTGATGCAACTGAAATAAGTGCTGGAAATGATAGTAAAAGAAATGTAGCTGACATTGAACATTCAGAAAAAAGAACAAATATGGAATGTAATGGTCAGAATAATCCTTTGCCTAATAATGAAAGGAGTATTGACAGAAATGTTGTGAAAGCCAATAAAAATGGCACAGTAGGAAACTCAAAATCAGCTGAAAAACCAAAAGTAGAGAAAGATGTCAGTTATGGTCAAGAGGCAAATCCAGTAAAAACTGAACCAAAAGAGTCTACCACTAACACATTTAGTACTATACTTAAATGTATTCAACATGATGTAAATGATTCCAAGGGAATCAAGTCCAAGTGTAACAGCAAGCCATCTACCGCAAAAGAAGTAGATGATATAATTGTAGAGAAGGTAGTTAAGAAGGAAGACAAAATAAAGGTTTTTAACATTGATACAATTGATGAGATAATAGAAACACTGACACGTGAAACAAATGGCAAGGAGTCTACATCTAAATGTGAGGAAGATATGAGAAAGCCAAAACTTGAATCATATAAAATGAAATATGAATCAACAAAATCTGATATCGGTATTTTACTCGATGACATAATTACTGTTGAAGCTGATGACTTTGATGTGAGCTCATTGGATGATGATCTCAGAACCTCTTGTATGGAAAAAGCAGAATCAGTAGTCCATGTTGTTGATAAAAATTATGTTGCTAAAGTCAACAGTCACAATACAACAGCTGATAAAACAATTATTGAAGGACCTCAAAGTTCCATACCTGTTGTAATTGGAGGAGTGGTAAATATCAATATTTCCCAGACTACTTGTCCTAACAGCAACATTGTAAGGAAAACTCTACCAATTTCTAATCTCCAAAACCCATTAGAATGTGTAAAAGGGACTCACAACAACAGCTCTACTGGAAGTGTCAAAACAAAGACCAATATGAAAACAAAACCCCAAGCTAAACCTGCTCTTATATCTAAGCCATTCAAGCTCACACCAATTACTTTTGACAACCCTTGTAAAACAACAGCTATATCTGCAAATGAAAATAAAATCACCAACTCACCTGACCAATCAGAAAACAAAACCAAATCACTGTGCACCTGGTCTTTAAAGCCTATTGACAATATAAATAAGGTTTCACAAAATGCCTTACCAGACATCAGTGATAAGTTGGCACATGCACAAGTTACAAGTAGTCACATTTTTCAAAAGGAAAATGCTGAGAATTCAAAGAAAATAAGCAGTCAAAAGGAAAGTAACTCTCAGAGTACAAAGAAAACAAAAATTCCAAATGACAGTAATGTTCAGAGTTCAAAGAAAGTAGTTATTCAAAAAGAAAGTAGTGATAAAGGAAATACCACCACTTTAAAAGATCCATCCATGCATGAAGAGATAAAACCTAAGTTTGTGAGTTTAAAACCAAAACCTAAATCAGTAGTCGATAAAGGTGAGAGAACTAATATATATGACTACAACCATGGAGTGTGGTGCCTAAGAGATATCAGTGACATTGAAAAACAGATCAACAAAGATACTATTGAAAGAGATACTCCATCAAAAAATGATACAAAATCCAGTGACAGGCCAGTTACACTCCCTGATCCAGAAATATTCTCCACTGATCTCAGGAACAAACTGACTGAAAAAAATCTTGATAAGAAGGATCTTCGTCAAAAATTGAATATGAAACATTATAGGAAAATCTCTTTTAATGAACATGAATCAAAAGAGATTATATTCAGTGATACAGACACAGACATTGAAACATGGGGAATTGGAAACAATATCCAACCATCAAAGAGTAAAATAAAATGTGAGACATATGCCAAATCAAATGAAGAATCATGTGAGGAAGCAACTTTAGGCAATGTTAAGTCCAGAGTTTTCTTTGCACCAGCCACTTATTCTCATAGCAATATCCCTTTGTCCCTAACTCCTAGTGCCAGTACTCCATCTATTCATGGCCAAACAGCTTCCCTATGTGTTCCTCATGTCCCACCCCCTCCTCCCGTTCATTTATATCAGGCATCCTCTTACAAAATTGTGGATAGTCCAAACAAAATTGGTCGCAATATACATTTGAATCCAAAGTTTCTTCGGTCCCCCCAATTGCATACTCAGGATGCTAGATTTGGTAGGCATTCATTAACCAAGATTCACAAAGATGGGGATTGTGTTTCAATATACACAAACAATAATAAGAAAAGGAGGCTCAGTTATGATTGATCACATGGGGTGCAGCATTCATACAATTTGAGATCAAGTTGTGGAACTGAAGTATGTGGAGTAGATAATGTATGGTACAGGAGTGATAATATTGATACAGTAGCTTTTGTTTTGTTGTATAAGGGAGCATCTCAAAAGTTCAATGTAGAACAACTGTATTTGAACATACATGTACATATATTATATAATTATTATTCCAATCAGTATTTGTGTACAGTATCATCATAAAAATATATCTTGTATTGTATCTCACTGTACAATCCTGAGTTTATATCCAACAAAATTTGCACTAGGCTAAGAAAATTCCCAGGAATGAAGTTCGAAAGCTTTTAAGGCTAATGACCCCCCATTGCTGTTCAAATATACTCCTCAAAAAAGTTAAGGACCAGTGGTTTTCCTCCTAGGTTTACATGTTAACCCCCATATTTGTTTGAACGACTATTTTCTAAGCGGGGAACAAAAGAAATCTCAATAAAGTAAATCAATCTGTATCTTGATTCTATTCCCTATGAAGTCCGCAACATTTCAATGTTATATCTCCATTACATTGGGTCAAAATTTGATGTCAAAATTGATGAATTTCATGAAATTTAACAAAAATGGCAGATCCCATGTTAAACAAATGGGGAATGGTGGCTTAGGGGCAACTCAGATTTTGGAATATCTATTCAGTAAAACATTTATTACAAATACTTTCTAGGTAGAAAATTGAATGATTTTACATTTTACATGCTAAATGTCTCGCTTATGTTGTTAAAATTAGCGATACAGAGCGTTAAAGTAATTTTGACTACCTCACTGAACCACCTGTGTTATTTCAATTAGAGGATCATTAAAAAATTATTGAATTTGAAACCATTAACTTTTGTAAAGCCCGGACAATTAAATCATATTTTTGTCGAATGGACAATTAAGCAAATTTAATTAACTCTCACAATTTCAATTTTGAGAGCAATCGGATGGATGGATCGTTCCTCATATGACTTATGGCAACCCAACCATTCCCCATTTGTTTAACATGGGATCTGCCATTTTTGTTAAATTTCATGAAATTCATCAATTTTGACATTCAATTTTGACCCAATGTAATGGAGATATAACATTGAAATGTTGCGGACTTTATAGGGAATAGAATCAAGATACAGATTTATTTTCTTTATTGGGATTTCTTTTGTTCCACGCTGAGAAAATAGTCTTCAAACAAATATGGGGGTTAACATGTAAACCTATGAGGAAAACCACTGGTTCTTAACTTTTTTTGAGGAGTATAGTTAATTTTCTGACATGAATATTTTGAAATGCTCCCTAAACATCTTAGAAAATATGTATTTACAGTTTGCATTATTTGTAAAAACTTTGTGGTCAGTAGGATATATGTTAATCAATAGAAAACTGATTTAATAGTATTAGACATGTTGAAAGATGAGTTATTTGTCAAAAAATATGATTTTGTTAGTACACCCTATGCAGAAAGAACCTGTGGGAAATATTTTGCGCGGTAGAAATTAGCATTTGGTGTGGAGTCCATGGTCATTTTTGATTTTAAATTCAGGATATTTCTGAAACTAAGTCATTTTTGGACTTCAAATGTACTCATATATGTGTAGTTGACACCTAATGTCAATAAAATTGTGAAAATAGTGTAATTCATTCTATAGCGGCGCAGTATGCATTAATCCTATTCCTATATTATTTTTTATACAGTGCCCCAAGCATTCATAAAAAATGGTGTTCAAGATACACTATTCATACAAATTATTTTTGCATTTTGGAAGCCAGACAGTTTCTGTGTGATTTTATAAAAATTTGGAAATGTTTATTAGATACAGAGCCCCCTCTAAATATTTGGTGAAGCGAGCTCAACAAAGAACAATATCGTTTGATTATACTTTGAGTTGTAAGAGTACTTGAACCATGTCAACTGTTTCCAGAATCTCTTTACATACAAGGAAGGAAATATCTTTATGCCAAAAAGCAAGTTAAAACTGATGCTTAATATACACTGTATCGCCAAATAATGCATTACACTACTATTTTTATTACAATTTTTGATATTAGGTGTCAACTACACATATATGAGTATTAATTTGAAGTCTCAACATGGCTTAGTTTCAGAAATATCCCAAATTTGAATTCATAAATGACCATTGTACCAAACGCTCATTTCTGCTGCACCAAATATTTCCCACATGCTCCGTCTGCATAGGGTGTAGAATAATGTACATATACAATTTCTTGAAGTTGAAGAATCACTTTGATGATATTGAGTTAGAAAATGAGTAAACATTTGATGAGATTTGATTTGATTTTTCATTTTGCTGTAACAATTGTTATATAAATCAGACACTATTGTAGAGTTAAACACGTTACTTTGAAGCTGTTGTGCAATAATCTGATAATTCAAAGTTCTTTTTTAAAACAGACTAATCTTTAAAAGTGATTCTGTTATACTGAACTCCTGGTATATTTCAGTGCTATTAATTTTTGGAAATTTTGAAAAGTCGCAATTTCAACGCTGTAATTTTCTGCGGATTTTACAAGTTGAGATTTCATTATTATCTGAGTCTTCAAGCTTTTTATCTCCTGCAATTTTACTTTATTTCCTTTTTCCATAGCTTAGTGGATTGTATTGCACCTCAAGCTCTATTATATCATTTTTGGCCAAATTGGTATAATAAGCCAGCGTAAAAGTGACATTTTTACTGGTATTCCATTCATTGCCCAATAACAGTAGACAAACATTGTACATACCACGAAACACATCAGAGTCCCAGGGAATTACAAATTTACAAATCCTCTGGGATTAAATTGGCAAATTAGCAATATTTATTTTTCCCGATATTACCACCATTGCAATTGTGCGAAAATTAATAGCACACAGAAAATACCGAACTAAGTTATTTTCATGAGAATTTTATTTCGATGTTTTGTCATTGTATTTTGAATATCAAGCATGTTATCATAAGTAAGTTAAAATCAACCATACTGGCAATGAATTATTTTAACCATTGTCTAGTTTTGCATGTGTTTGCATTTAATATTAACTATTAGTAATCTGGATGTGACACGCAACATATTCCATTCATGTTATAGTTTTGTTTGCCAAGGAAGTAATTCCTTAGTCACATGTAAGGTACTTTATACATATTTTGCAACATAAGTTAAGTTAATAAATTAATAGTCATTTTGTATTTTTGAAAAAATATGTGTTTATTCTTGCTGTTTCGTAGTTATCCCACCAAACGAAGTTCAAGGGGGATATAAAGAAACTGTCTGTCTGTCTGTATGTCTATCTAGGCCATAACTCAAATACCGGTCAATGGATTTGATTCAAATTTTATGGGTTTATGCCTTATGGGTGTAGGACCTCTGCTAAATAAGGAATTTTCAATATGGCCAATATGGTTCAATTCAAAATAGCCACCATTGTTCATAAAAATATAATTTTTTAATAACTCTTTGATTACTCAAATAAGAGTAAATAGTTTTGTTCAAATTTTGTATGTTGATGCCTAGGGACACACTTGGTCATTTTAAGAAAGAATTTTCAAGATGGCAGCTGAATTTCCATTTGCCAATATTTTTCGTAACAGAACACAATCTTTGATAACTACCAGTTGACGGTATTTTATAAATGAAATACCAGTGGATGGATTTGAACCGTGTAGTTGCTGTTTTTCTAGTTAACTTCTTGTTCAGACCCTTTTCTCAGTTAAAAGAGCATATCACAAATATATTATTTATATTTATAAATTGAAGTTTATTTTGATCGACGATTGTAATGATTTCATACTATCATGACATCTATATTATATGTTTACAAAAATGTACACATTTGCGAACAAATAGTTCAGAAGACAACAGAATCGTCGGTTTAATTCCTCACTAAGTTACAGAAATGGTATTTCGTAAAACAGTTAAGATCTGCACTTTTAACCCAAACCATTTCTGTAACTGAGAGCTAAAATCGACGATTCTGTTGTCTTCTGAGCTATTTTTTCGCAAACATGTACATTTTCTAAAACATATGATACTGATACACGTTTGGGAGAAAAAACGTCGTTTGTATTCTGCCTACAACGCGTGAAATAGGGAAAAAAGAAAAATCGTACCTTTGACGTTCCGACATTATGTTACCGAAACGAACCGTTTCTGTAACCAGCGTAATTGAGTGGATCACCAGTGGTGTTGAGAAATTTAAAAAATGTAAAAAAGACTCATTGGTAAGAAACCATTAAAGGTATTATTAGAGGATCGCTGAATAAACAGTCAACAAATAAATTATATCATTAAATAGAGATGTGACCCAATCATTCTGATGTCATTTGAATGCTTCCAACTTTACTCATTCGCCTAAGGCCCCTACACTACACTACACTACACTACACATTAATTGTTTGTCAGTAGAATTTTGCAAAAATATGTATCAAAATGAAAGAAATCTTTAGAGGCAAGAATAGTTTGACAAATGGACAAAGGGGCTATAAATATCCAGGCATTGATATTACTAAACAGACAATTAATTCATAGGGCCTATCCTGGTGACAAACCAGAAATAATTTGGAATGGAATAACTATTTTAGTGTGAGGAGATACAGGGATGCAAATGACATGGAATATAGTGGTTTCTATAGAGATTTGGTGAGTACATTTAAAGGAATGGACTCTGGATATTAGCCCATTATGAAAATAAATGGAATTTTCACTTACCACTATAACAAAGGAATAAGTGAATATTTGAGGAAGTTATGATGATTAAAGATGAATAAATTAGTTCATGGTAAAAATGTCACTCTGGTCTCTTCATATTCCATGCCATTTCTCTTCTTATTCCATGCCATTTCTCTTCTTATTCCATGCCATTTCTCTCTACCCTTTGGGAATGAAATATATAGGTTCCTTTCATTTCTGAACAATTTTAGTAGTGACCTATTAGCTCAAATGGTGAGCTTTATCAATCACTCATTTGTGTTAATTTTATGTTGGCTTGGAAATTCTTTGTTTTGGGCTAGTATCCATATGATTCATATTATTTAATATTAAGATATTTAATTAATTTTTATTTTGAAGTATATTGAGTAATTTTTAAATGCTCCACTGTGTTGAATCTTCTGAAAAGCGAGTTGTATTGGACACCTGTGTAAAAAATAAAGTTACTTGGAATGTGCCAATAGTGAAAAGAAAGATGCATATTATTGAGATCGATCTTTATAACCTGGGATATGGTAGTACTATCTGATTTTAGAAGAAAAATGTCTCAAAAATGGTAATAAGCAAATAATGCAAGACACATCTGAATGAAATAAGCTGATATGTTCCATATATTTTTAACATCTTGCAGAACCATTGGTTTAGAGACATTCAAATTCTGAAATTTTTATGGATCAGTTAATTCTACGTATACCTAATTACTTGAAGTTCTATAATTTGAGCATTTGAATGAGTCTTAACACTTAATGTTTGAAAATTGACTGTATTAGAAATTTGGTGTTCTTTCAGAATAATAACTGCCATCCCCAAAGTATATTACCATACCAAGAATTTGATCAATCCACAATGGATAAAGTGTTTTACATGACTGATGTCCATGCTAACTTGGAGTACAGTGATATTTGTCGCCTGATCCCATTCAACTTCACAACTCAAGATGCCACACGCGTTTTGCATAACAAGTTCATCATTATTATTGGTGACTCAAGTAAGTCAAGTTTATTAATATTCCAAGTTCTACAGGAGATCTAAATATGAGCCTGATACTAATTATCCCATGGAATATCGAGAAGCCGTCCATCCATTTGTCTATCAATCCATCTGTCCATCAATATATCCATTCAAGTGTTTTTCCATCAGTCCACTTGTTTGTCTGGATGATAACTCAAATCCCAGTTGATGGATTTTATTTAAATTTCATTTAAATTTTACAGGGTTGTGCCTTATGGGTGAAGGACCTCTACTCTGCTTTTTTTCGTAAAAAGACATAATGCCAATATCCCTATGGGTCTATGGGATAGACTAGGCAGCAATCTGTTGATCCATCAGTCTGTCACTTTTACTTCTGATTTTATGATAAATAAGAAACAAATAGAATAATGTTCACTGACTTGAATATTCAGTTCCAATATATTTTGTTGCCCTTTTATGACATTGGCTCCTTTATTTGTTTTAGTTCAAAGGATGGTCTACAAAGACCTTGTCTTCTTGTGTCAGAATAATCACTTTACTCCAGAATCAAGGATAACAAAAAAGGTAAGAATGAAAAAGGGTCTAGATAAATATTTTATCTGTCTAAAATATCTTGGCTTACTCTTATACATTAACCATCTTTTGCTATATAGTTAGCTACATGTATATTGTTTCAATTAGTCAATTTCAAAAACTCAGTGGCATAACTACAGGATGGGGGAAAGGTAAACAGACACGAGGTGTCTATATTAAAACATACTGTTTTCAGGATGATATTCGCAGCAACAATTTTTCAATGATATTGGTCATTCCTCAAATCATAGTACCAACTTTATACGAAGTTAATCCAGTTCAATTATTATAGGCATGACCAATATCTGTGTGAAATTATTTCTTCGAACCTTATCTTAAATCAGTTACCTTATTCAGGAAGTGCTGAAAATTCATTCATCCCATTTGCATCATTGAAAAGGCTGCACTGGCCAAATAAAAAATTATGGAGATTTTTGGCTCACTTTGTATGTTGTCAAGTTAAACCGAGCATATACAGTCAGAAAACAAAAATTCAGGGTGATTCAGAAGTAAGATGCTGTAATCACAGTACTCTTAAATGTTGAATTAAACGGTGATGCGCTGTTACCCCAATAAACTAATATTAAACTAATATTGTTGAAGCTTGGTGGAGATGCTACCCAGATTTTTGTGGTATTATCTAAAGGTCAAAGGTCCAATTATTTGTTGGTTATTAGACTCCAGATGTCAATCTGGAGTCTATTGTTTTTGCCAGTATTCTTCTTCTTCTTCTTCTTCTTATTAGACTCCAGATGTCAATCTGGAGTCTATTGTTTTTGCCAGTATTCTTATTATTATTAGACTCCAGATTGAAAATCTGGAGTCTATTGTTTTTGCCAGTATTCTTATTATTAGACTCCAGATGAAAATCTGGAGTCTATTGCTTTTGCCAGTTTTCTTATTATTAGACTCCAGATGAAAATCTGGAGTCTATTGCTTTTGCCAGTTTTCTTTATTATTCTTCCGCTTCCTCCTTACAAGATTTCTCAACAACTAGAAGAGCTTACTTTAAGTTGCTTACATGATCAACTAGGGAATGTATCTGGGATGATGGGAAATTAGGTCAAATTTTTATCTAGGTCAAAGGTCAAGAACTAGGTCAAATCTTGCATTTTCAACATTCTTTCAATTATCTTCGTCGTTATTTATTGAAACAACTTTGTCTTTTTTTCATCATGTAGCTTAGAAACAGCTCTTTCAAAGATATGCCATCAGATTTTTAATTTCTCGTACCGATTTTGAGATATGGCGTCCGGAAAGTAGGTCAGAACAAAAAGTTCTCCAAATTCAACATGTGAGCTATGAAATAAGTGTAGAATGATCTCAGGAACCTGAATCTGCAAACCAAATTTCGATCCGACATCTAGTACGGAAGTTATGGCGTTTTGAAAGCTCAAAAATCGCTAAATTTGGTGCCCATGTTAAGTCAATGGGAAAAAAGATTTTTTTGAAGTGAAAAATACGAAATATAGACTGAGTTCAGCTAAATATAATGGAAGCTTTTAAAAGAAGGGGACCTCAAAAGCCATCTAGCTTAAAAATATGGACACAAAAATGCCTAGGTCAAAATCTAGGTCAAATTCAAAGTTTTTCCTTATTTTTGCGATTCTGACACTACACTTTAATTATATTCTTCGAAATTGTGTATACATGTAGCCAAGAGTGTGCTTATAGTGTTAGCCTTTTGCCGTCAGGAAGTATTTTGACCCACTTTTGAGATATTGTGTCCCAAAAGTAGGTCAAAATAAAAAATTCTTCAAATTTAACTTATGAGTTATGAATTAGGGGTAGAATTTGATCAGGAATCCGAATCTGCAAACCAAATTTCGATTCGACATCTTGTTCAGAAGTTATGACGTTTTGAAAGCTCAAAAATCGCTAAATTTGGTGCCCCATGTTAAATCAATGGGACTGAATAATTTTTTGAAGAGTAAAAATACAAGATATAGAATGAGTACAGCTAAACATAATGAAAGCCCATAGAAGAAGAGGACCTCAAAAGCTACTTTCCTTCAAAATTTGGACACCAAAATACCTAGCTCAAAATCTAGGTCAAATTCATAGTTTTTTCTTATTTTTGCAATTCGGACACTACACTTCAATGATATTCTTCAAAATTTTGTATACATGTAGCAAAGAGTGTGCTAATAATGTTAGCTTTTTGCCGTCAAGAAGTTTTTGACCCACTTTTGAGATATGGTGATCGAAATGTAGGTCAAAATAAATGTTCTCCAAATTTAACGTATGAGTTATGAATTAGGGGTAGAATTTTCTCAGGAATCCGGATCTGAAATTAAAATTGCAATCCGACCCCCGGTTAAGATTCTATGCCATTTTGAAGTTAAAAATTCGCACTTTCCAGTATTCACGATGCAGATTGATCAAATATACTTTCAAAAATTCCTACATACCCTACTTTACCTCCCTACCTACTCAGCTACTTATTTGACCACTTACTCAATTACTTAATTAGTTATTACTTACTTAGCTACTTACTCAGCTACTTACTCAGGTACTTACTCAGCTACCTACTCAGCTACCTACTCAGCTTTTTACCCAGTTACTTACTCAGCGACTTACTCAACTACTTCTAAGGTACTTACTCAGCTAATTACTCAGTTACTTACTCAGCTCTTTACTGATCTATCTAGGTCAAAATAAATCTGGAGTCTTAAATTGAACTTGTTCAATTTCACCAATCTAGTTATTATTTTTCTTTCTTCCTCTTCCTCCTTACAAGATTTCTCACCAACTAGAAGAACTTACTTTAAGCTACTTACATGATCAACTAGGGAATGTATCTGGGATGATGGGAAATTAGGTCAAATTTTTATCTAGGTCAAAGGTCAAGAACTAGGTCAAATCCAGTACTTTGTCACTTTTTTCAATTTTCTCGGTCGTCCCTCAATATTTTCAATCCGGTTTTTTTTCATTGTGTTCCTCATAAAAAAGTAGGGGAAAACAGGTCGATTTAGTTTTTTGATATCTCAAACCGATTTCGAGATATCAGTGTCCGAAAACGAGGTCCAAAAAAAAGTTCTCCCAATTCAATGTCCACGCTACTGGTCTTGTAGGAAATTTTCTCAGGATTCCGAATCTGAAAACCAAATTTCGATCCGACTTCCGGTTCGGAAGTTATATTGTTTTGAAAGCTCAAAAATCGCTAAATTTGGTGCCCATGTTAAGTCAATGGGAAAAAAGATTTTTTTGAAGTGAAAAATACGAAATATAGACTGAGTTCAGCTAAACATAATGGAAGCCCATAAAAGAAAGGGACCTCAAGACTTTCTTTTCATAAAATTTTGGACACCAAAATGCCTAGGTCAAAATCTAGGTCAAATTCAAATTTTTCCTTATTTTTGCGATTCTGACACTACAGATTAATTATATTCTTCGGAATTTTGTATACATATAGCCAAGAGTGTGCTCATAGTGGTAGCCTTTTGCCGTCAGAAAGTATTTTGACCCACTTTTGAGATATGGTGTCCGAAAAGTAGGTCAAAATAAAAATGTCTCCAAACTCAACGTATGAGTTATGAATTAAGGATAGAATTTTCTCAGGAATCCGAAACTGCAAACCAAATTTCGATCCGACTTCCTGTTCGGAAGTTATGGCGTTTTGAAATTTCGGGAAAAATCGATCTGATGGTATCCTGATAGAAAGTCAAGGAAAAAAGATTTTTTTTGAAGTGTAAAATACGAGATATAGACTGAGAACAGCTTAAGATAATGAATTCCTATAAAAGAAGGGGACCTCAAAAGCAACCTAGTTTCAATATTTGGACACCAAAATGCCTAGGTCAAAATCTAGGTCAAATTCATAGTTTTTCCTTATTTTTACGATTCTGGCACTACACTTTTAGGATTTGCTTCAAAATTTTGTATACAGGTAGAAAAGAGTGTGCTAATAGTGATAGCCTTTTGCCGTCAGAAAGTATTTTGACACATTTTTGAGATATGGCGTCCTAAAAGTGGGTCAAAATAAAAAAATCTCCAAATTTAATGTATGAGTTATGAAATAAGGGTAGAATTTTCCCAGGAATCTGAATCTGCAAACCAAATTTCAATCCGACTTTTGGTCAAAAATTCCTACTTACCTACCTACCTACATACCTACTCGGCTACCTACTTAGCTATCTACTTCTCGGCTACCTACTCAGCTACTTACTCAGCTACCTACTCAGCTGCTTACTCAGCTTCCTTCTCAGCTACCTACTCAGCTACTCACTCAATTACTTCATCATCTACTTACTCAGCTTGCTACTCAGTTACTTACTCAGCTACCTACTCAAGTAAATCAATCTGGAGTCTTAAATTGAAGTTTGTTCAATTTACAAATCTAGTTATTATTATTATTCTTTGGGAGTTTTTTCAATAACTATGAGGTATCCAGTAAGGACCATAATACAGTTTATTTAGGTTCAGTATCTAGTTGATGGGAAATTGGGTCAAATTTTTATCTAGGTCAAAGGTCAAGAACTAGGTCAAATCCAGTACTTTGTCACTTTTTTCGATTTTCTCAGTCGTCCTTCAATATTTTTGATCCGTTTTTTTTTCATTGTGTTCCTCATAAAAAAGTTGTATATAGAATGTCGATTTAGTTTTTTGATATCTCAAACCGATTTCGAGATATGGCATCCAGAAAGTAGGTCACACCAAAACGTGCTCCAAATTCAATGTATGAGTTATGAATTAGGAGTAGAATTTTGTCAGGAATCCGAATCTACAAACCAAATTTCGATCCGACTTCTGGTTCGGAAGTTATGGCGTTTTGAAAACTCAAAAATCGCTAAATTTTGTGCCCATGTTAAGTCAATGGGAAAAAATATTTTTTTGAAGTGAAAAATACGGAAAAAAGACTGAGTTCAGCTTCATATAATCAAAGCCTTTAAAAGAAGGGGACCTCAAAAGCCAACTAGCTTTAAAATTTGGACACCGAAATGCCTAGGTCAAAATCTAGGTCAAATTCATAGGTTTTCCTTATTTTTTCG